ACAGTTGTAGGTATCGCATTTTTAGTTTTAGGCCGAGTAGCCTCTGTATCTGGAAGGCCGTGACCAAGGGTTGGGTACGAATGACAGTGGCTAAGTGGACGATGTCTGCCGCCCTGTTTTGGGGCAGGTAAGCCATGCATGTCTTGGAATCCAGTAGGGCACCGATGTATTGTATCTGCTGGGCCGGTTGCAATTGAGATTTCTGGAGATCGATTTGTAAGCCCAGATCTTTCAAGAGTATCATTGTCTCGTTGATGTTTGAGACTAGAGTGTCTTTGGAGGACGCCACTAGGAGCCAATCGTCTATGTACGGGTAGATGGAGATGCCCTTGAGACGGAGGAAGGCTGCCACCACAATCATAGTCTTTGTGAAGACTCTTGGGGCGCTTGAAAGGCCGAATGGTAGGTCCGCATATTGGTAATGGTGTTGACAAATTGTGAAGCACAGGTATTGGCGGTGGGAGGGGTGGATAGTGAGGTGGAAGTACGCGTCTTGGAGGTCGATGGTGGCCATCCAGATGTTTCTCCGGAGCAGTGGCATAATCTGCTGTAAGGACACCATGCGGAAGCGGTGATAGGTGATAAAACAGTTCAGCTCCCTCAGATCTAAAATGGGCCGAACGCCTCCATCCTGCTTTGGGATTGTGAAGTATTGGGAATAAAATCCCGTCTTGTGGAGATGTGGTGGTACCTGTTCGATGGCTTCCTTCTGCAGTACGACAGACACCTCTTCTAGGAGAGGTGGGGAAGGGGGTGTGGTGACGACTACTGGAGTGACGGGGTTCTGGTTGAATTGAATACGATAGCCCTGAGTTACAATGGACAGCACCCATTGGTCCGAGGTGATGTGACGCCAGGCAGAAAGGAAGGGTGACAGACGTGTTTGAACTGACTCGGTAGGAGGGAAGTCAAAAGCCCTGCTTGGAGGACCTTGGTAGTTTGGTGCGTGAGGGTTGTTGTCCAGTTCCAAACTTAGGCTTTTGAAAGGCGGGTCTTAGACCATCGGAAGCTGTACGTGGCCTCCATTGCCTATCCGGAGACTGACTATTTGGAATGCGTCTCTGCCAGGGCCTAGACCAGGTGCGAGGGCGATATTATTGTCTCGTGGAAGGTGACACCCCTAGAGCGCGAGATGCCTTTATGCTCTTATCAATATCCTGGAGCATGGTATCGGTCGTGCTGTTAAAAAGGCCGAGGCCATCAAAGGAGAGGTCTTCGACATATGACCTAGATCTTGAGGAAGATTGGTATTGCGGAGTCAGGAGTGTCTCCTCAGAGCGATAGCTGAGGCCATTGTTCTGGAGGAAGCCTCTAAAGCATGTTTGGACGTGTTGAGCTGCTGCTTCACAAGAACCATGCCTTCTGAATAACCCTAGCCGCTTGATGCTTGTCTTCCGGGAGGTGGATTAGGAGGTCGGAGAATCTTTCCCACAGAGTATATTGATATCTGCTCATGCAGGCTAAGTAGTTAGTGGTTTTGAACCCTAACGCACCCGTGGAGTAGAAGTGTCTCCCGAATGCGTCTAATTTCCTACTTTCCCTGTCAGAGGGTGCCGAGTGCGATAGTTTTGACTTGGACGAGGATGTGACGACTACCGAATTTGGTTGAGGATGGGAAAATAAAAATTCTGCACCTGTGTCCAGGACTCTGTACATGTAGTCCAGACGTCTTGTCGACACCGGTGCTGAAGACTGCTTTTCCCATGGGGCCTTGATAGCTTGTAAGAGGACTGCGGACATGGGGAGTGCAATGGTAGTGGAGGTATCCAGTTGCACAATATCATATACAGGATCAGTAACCTGTGGCTGTTGTACAATTCTTGGATTGTGATATAGGGAGGTCCTCCGTGACCGCTTGGTTCGGTGACTTGTGGTAAGGGGAGGTTTGGATCTCCGAAGCCTCTGAGTCAGATTCTTCGTCTCCAGAGTCAGAGCAGCCCTGTTCTGGTATTTGTACTGGAGTAGCTTTGGGTTGACTAGTTAAAACTTTTGGTGGAACGATTTGGGGGGGGGGCAGAACCCAGAGGTTCCACTTGATGGTGAGAAGGGTCTTCAGCTGGAGGTCAAGACAGTGATGCTGAAGGTCTCGATTTATGGGGTGACCTTGATCTGTGAGCAGAGTAGGTCGAATATCGATCCCAGTCGGAATAGCCCACAGGAGTGAGCCAAGGCATGGATGGTGCCATAGAGGTATCTCAGTTGGCAGTGATCCCATGACATCGGTGGTGGCGGGGGAATGAAGACTGTAGGTGATCGACTTCTAGACTGATCACGTCTCGGAGACAAAGGAATGTGCCATCCTTGTGAACGGTCTCTCAAAACTTGCTCATCAATATCGACTGTATCGCCATGCAGGCGTGGAGAGTGGCGCTGCGTGCTAGAATGTGTCGATTCTGACCAGTATCAACGTCGGGAGCTTCCGAAAACGACGATGGAGAAGGAGAGAGGGAAATCTCTGCACCCGTGGGGTGACTTAGGAGTTCCACATTCTCGATGTCTGAGTAAGGACGCTCCAGTTGTTGAATAGGAGAGTCCAAAATTTGATTGGTAGATATCGGTGGAGGAGCGTGGGTGTCCGATATGGATGGAGCGGGCGGCACTATAGGGGCATCAGCCAGTGTGGACTCCACTATCTTCACCTTCTTCGCCACTTTGAGGGGCTTGGAGGAACCCTTTTTTGCGGACTTCTCCTTACTTGCTTTGGGTCTCTTCTTCACCTGTGTTGAGGTGGAGGATTGCGCCTTCGATACCGGAGGCTTCAGCGTCGATTGGACGATATCAGAAGCAGACCTCGATACCAGAGCCATCAAGGTCGAAGGTCTCTGAGTCCATCGTTGTGGTAGGATTTAGAGCGGATTCTAGGAGCGCGACTTTAAGGTGAGCAGCTCGGTTTTTCCGGGTTTGATTGTAAAATCTTGCACAGTGCTGTCACGAGTCAGGTCTGTGAGACTCTCCCAAACAAAAAATACAGAGAGTGTGGCGGTCAGGCGGTGCGAGTTTACTACCGCAACGTTGACACCGGTTAAAAAAGCCCCACTTTTTCTCCATAGACTAAGAAAGTAGTGGAGAGAGAAGGGGGGGTAGAGCCCAAAGGCCAAGCTGAGGTAAACGGAACTTTCCCCCCTCAGGAAAAATAAAGTATTTTTTTAAAAAAATTGTAGGTAACAAAGAAGTAACACGAAAAAGGCTAGGAAAAAACGAGGAAAAAATCCAAAGAGCAGTGACGCAAATAGCCAAAAATAGCGAACCGATCAGACCGACAAAGAAAAGGTCTTTCCAACATGGCGGTAAGAAAGGAACTGGTGGGATGTCCGTGCCCACCCCTCTGGGCATGCGCGGCGGGGTTCCTGCGCATGCCCGAGGTCTGGGTGCGAAAATCCGTTAAAAGAGCTTGCTACAGCACCGATCAATTCAGCGCGTGCGCACTAGATCCCATGGGTGTGAAGCACAGAGACCACGTCGAAGATCTATAGTGAAGTTCTGTCTCCATGATAACAGGCAGAGTTTAATCTGCTTCAGATTACCCTGAGATTCTGGCTGCTGCTAGAATCATGACCCTGAGTTGTATACAGCCTGCGGTTAATAGCTTCCTAACTGACTCTTGTAGGGCAAAGGTGGTGAGTAGCATTATGAGATTAGGCTTTAATCTGTTATACTTCTACACACATTAGCAAGGGGGTAGAGAATTCTAAAGCACAGAATATTTGATTACGTAATGAACAAGCTACTTAGGAGAGCAGCCACTCTTTAAATCAAGATATCGGACTCAAAGATAAATAACTTGTAACCAGTGTTCCCTCTAAACTGATTTAGTGTGAGCTAGCTCACAGGATTTTTTAGCCTCCGGCTCACACATTTTTGTCTTAGCTCAGAAAGGATGTCTCCAGAACAAACTAATTTATGCAGTAGCCAAATTGCTCGCTCACAACTTTAATGCCAGTAGCTCACAAAGTAGAATTTTTGCTCACAAGATTCCACAGCTTAGAGGGAGCATTGCTTGTAACTGTACCAAACTTCAGAATTATGGGCAACCTCTTTACTACAGATTACTAGTACTAATAGTACTGATTGGTACAGTTTAGTTACTGTGGGGAAGGTTACTGGAGTGTGCACCATTTGAGTAACTTATGTTCTGTGGAGGGGGAAGCAATTTTAACTTGAAGATGTGAACTGCTTTGAGGATCTTACAGTAAAAAACTAACAATTCCATTTTCTTTGTTGTACACAGGTACTCTTGCTGGAATTGTAGTACCCTTGAAACATGAGGTTGTGTAATAGGAAATTGAAGTAGAAACCCCAAGCTGTCACCCTAAAGTATTTCTTGGCAAAGCAGCTTAAAATTAGCTGTGCAGTGTTCTTGAGCTGGAGGTATTTTATCCGGGGTTGTTTCACATCAGTTCTCACCAATTAAAAACAAGCCTGTATTTCTTGAATAAAGAGGATTATGCTGAACATTTCAGACAGATTTAAATAAATCTGGAGCATGTTGACATGGATTACAAGAGTCTCAAGTAATTAAAGTCCCTAACAGGAAGTTTGTTATTTGGCATAAACTGGAACTCCTTATCAGGTTTAAAACTATTGTTAACCTGTGTTATTTCCAGGCTAAACCTGAGTTTAGCCCTGTAGTTTTATTATCTCCGCCAAGCCTTTAATCACTATGATGGTTCTGGAGTTTGGCTTTATAGGCACAGTGTGTAATCTTGGCTTCTTGGAAGTACCAGTATTTGTTGCACCAATGAAGTCTTGACCACCCCTGTTACGTAACCTGATAATAGTATGAGTTGAGCAGTAATGCGCGAACAAACTATGATCTTCAGGCCTACCTGAATAGCCCTGCAGAAGTGATTTGAAGAAAGTAATTGTATTGTGCCTTGAGTCCCATTTTGGTTTTAGACTACCTTCTCAGATGTAAATTATGTTTTACCAGCATTGCTTGAGATTATGAGGAAGGTATTTCTAATTATACCAAAAGCGCTAATGGTAAAATCACTTTGCAGTATCTTACAAAACAGGTGGAACTCCTGCGTCAGATGAATGACCAGCATGCCAAAGTCTACGAACAGCTCGATATCACTGTTAGAGATCTAGAAGACGCTAATCAAAAACTAATTGTGGATAGTAGATCTTCACAGCAGAAGATCTTAAGGTAATACAGTACTGCAAGACTCTGCTTTCCCTTCTTGAAGAGATGTGCCCCTACTGTAGAATGGCTAGATCTCAGGACTTGCTCAATTACCCCTTTGCCCCTGGTATTCTACTTGGGATCAGGAATGAGACATAGACTGGATTCTCCCTCCCACAGTAATCTGAGTGCAGAATCACACGGAGGATCTCCTAAATTCTATAAGGATAGTCTCGCTAAATAAGCCCGACATGACTTTTAGTGGGGACCTGCAGTGCATTCCTGATCTTACAAGAAGTTCAAGTAATGAACAGACAGGTGCAGCATTGAAATGATAGTCAAATCCAAAACTTTTATATTAGGGGCTGTTGATGTCCCAAACATGATTTTTCCCTGATGATTTTGTGGGTTCTTCCCCCCCCCTTCCCCCATAGCCTTACTGAGACCATCGAAAGTCTTCAAACGCACATCGATGACCTCCAGACACAAGTGGAGGAGCTGAAGAACTCTGGGCAGGGCCGTGTGAACCGTGAACGATCTGAGCAGCCGAGATCGGTTCATAGTTTTCCATGCCTAAAAGAACTGTATGACCTTCGCAAGTAAGGCACAAGCTCCCATTCATGTGGTATTTTCTGTGAAAGGTGGATGACTGGTGTGAGACTGAGATTTTAAAGTAGGGAAAATAAGAGCATCTATTTACAAGAGAATTTCAAACTGAGTTAAAAGTCAAAGCTGTCGTTGAACGATCATTTCAGAGTTTTATTTAAGAAATGTCTCTCTCCCCCGATACCCTTTTCTTGATGTTTGTACAGTCTCTGTGGCAGCTGATGGACTGAAGAAGCCTAAAAGCAACTTATATATACATTTTTTATAAAGCTTATCAAAACATTTTTGAAATGGTTTGGGCTTTTTTTTTGTAACCTGTCTCCAGCAACAAACCTGGTATAATAACTTTTCCTCTGGAGGTCTACGATTGACAGGTGTCGGTGGTCTTCGTAACTCACTGGACCAGTTTGCTGGCTTTCACCTGGCAGTCCAGGTTTCCTAATGTTTCTGGAGAGCTAACGGGAAGCATGGGCAGATTTTCCAATGGTCTCTAGGCCGACCTATATCTTATCCCCTTTGGGCCAGTGAAGATCTAGTTGGCTTAAAGCCAGCCAGTGTTAGTCTCTACCAGTGTGCTAGAACAATGTGAATGGCATTGCTCTTGCTAAGAATCTCACTGATGCAGAAAAAAAACAAAAACAAAACCCCAGTCTTGAGAAGAGTTTTGCTTGGATTCCTGTGGTGTGGTGTATTCCTTGAATTACCTTAATCCTAGATGCTAGCAGTACGTCTTGTATGGTAGAACCATCAGTTAAACAAACCAGGGTCTTATCTGCCCAAAGAAAATGGCCTGCTTGAATTCCAGTATTGTTGGGTGAGTCTAACTGGCTATGAGGATAAGATTAGCAATTATAGGGTCAAAATACAGCTAGCTCCTTGACTTTGGCAACCTGCCTGCAATTAATGAGCATATGATCTCTTACCTAGTAGGACTGAGACTTTCAGAGACTAATGTGTGTCTTTGGGGGGGTGTTTCTTTGCAGGTATTTTGTTTATGATCATATTTTTGCAGAAAAAATTACATCTATAGATACACAGCTGAGTCCTGTGGAGGAAGAGAATCAGAACTTGAAGAAGGCAGTGACTCTCTTACAAGCCCAACTCGAGATGGAAAAAGAGAAGCGGGTGACTATGGAGGAGGAGTACAGCCTCGTGCTGAAGGAGAACTGTGACCTTGAGCAGAGACTGGTGGACGTTGACCTGTACCGCAGCCGAGCCGAAGAGCTGGAGAGCGAAGTGGCTGAAATGAGGCAGATATTTCAGTGTGAGAAGCCATTTGTCAGCGGGGTGGAAAAGCTCGTTCCGGAGTCTTTCTTTATCTCCTTGAAAGACTCTCTAGAGAAGGAGCGGAGTCGGAGCCCTTCGAATGGTGTGTCTTTGACTGTTCCAGAGCTTGAAAAAAGGGCTCTGAAAAGAAGCAGCAGCGAGACCTTTTTGGGCAGCACTGTGGGTGGAGACCTTCTGAAGGGCCACGAGGAGACGTGTATCCGGAGGGCCGAAGCCGTAAAGCAAAGGGGCATCTCTCTGCTGAATGAGGTTGATGCGCAGTACAATGCTCTGAAGGTCAAGTACGAGGAACTCCTGAAGAAGTGTCTCTTGGACGAGGAGTCGGTGAAACACAAGGCCGTGCAGACCTCAAAGCAGTGCTCCAAAGAGTCAAACGTGGGCAATGGGGCCTTGGACATGCGTCTTAGAGAACTGGAAGGCACAAGTGCCGATCTGGCCAGCCTAACCACTAATACGCCGCCCGAGTACAAACTTCTCTTCAAGGAAATCTTCAGTTGCATCAAGAAAACCAAGCGAGAAATAGACGAGCACAGAGCCAAGTATTGCGCTCTCTCATCTCAGCCATAGTATCCTCGGTGTCACCCTAGTTATATAAATCTGTGTCACCTTAAAAAGAGTGTTGATGCAGCTCTCGTTGTTGATATGAAGCATGGTGTTGAATGTCTGTATTCTAGAGTTTTGTTCTCTTGTAGAATGGGTTGGGTCTCCTTAGGTATTTGCATTTTGTGAAGAAAGCATTTGCAGAAAAACTGACTTGCTCAGAGGGAGTTACTACAGACGGTAAACTGGCAAATAAATGCTACACTATTTGGTTGACCTCTCTATTGCAGGGAATTGACTCCTGTCTGAAAACATGAAAACTCAGAAGTAGCTGTGTTCTGCTGCTCCTGGGCTAGATTATTCCTTCAGGTCATTCGTGTGGCCAAAATCTAAAAAGTAGAAATCGCTGTAGCCACTGAACACTGTAACTGTAAAATTAAGTTATGACATCTCCCAAAAGATACCATATTTGACGTCGTTAAGAGGTTGTGATTGTAACTAGGATTTTTTCAAACCAGCTGTCCATTATAACGTGCCAGTAAGTCCAAATGCATCTGTTACTGACTGGGTTTTCAATGTATTGTTCCTGAAAAGCCAGTTTGGCCTATAAGGGAGATGATTTTTAGAAACTGCTGGAGGAGGCCGGCCCCTTGGAATGTGTTTTCAGTCTTGTAAGTGTTGAAAGGATCCATTTAAGGGAGGAGTGACTACTAAATCGTTTCCACAAGTAAGCAAATTTTCAGAGTCCGCTCTGGATTTCCGAAGTTGTTGAGTCCTTTTGGAAGAAGGCTAAGCACAAAAGGCTTCCAGCGCTGTGTGCAATGTGGCATCTGTTTTTTCTCTGCATGCCTGAACTGTGTCCAGCAGTGAGTTTCAGTGCTTGGATTCGCTTTAGTACAAAACATTAAAGTTGCCACACAGTGAACTTAAACCCAGATAGTGACTTCTCCTGGTGCTTTAGCACAACCTGGGGGAGCCTGACAGCAGTCACCACCACATGTGGCTTAAGCCAGTAACCGTCCATTACCTAGAGTTTCCCTTTGGTGTCACAAGTGTCCTGTCTGTAAAAGGGCCCACAGCGTGCATAACTTTGGTAGGTGTACAGTGTTTAGGATACTGTGTCAGGAGGGCAAAGACGGAACACTGCAGATGCCTCTACTGCTTGCGTGAGCCAAGGGCATGGCCTGTAACTACTGGAGTCTGAGGAAAGGTTGCCTATATTTGAGCACAGGAAGAGACCATGATAGTAAAGGGAAGCAGCAGGTTCGTTGTCCTCCACTCTGTTCCTTGGCTGCACAAGTCTGGGGGTACAGACTGAAAAGGGTAAAGCAAGATTGGCTCTTTTGTTGTAACAGAAGTTTAAATTCCTGGGCACAGGGCAACATGAGTAGGTACTGAGAGTTTCTTAAAGTAGAAGAGTAAAAATGATGCTAAGAAATGGGAAAGCAAACAGCAGCACTAGAAAAAGTAACTGCCCCCCCCGCAAGCCTAAACTGTATTGCAGCTTTAATTTAGTTGCTCTTAACACACTTCTCTGCCTTATGTACAGTATATAATGGGGACTAAGCATTCTGACCAGTTTTCAGTATATGGAAACACATTCCACAAAAGTGCATATTTAAACTTATTTAAAGAGTTGTAAGCTATTGTGAATATTTGGTGTAAAGTTAATAAAAGGTCTTTGGCAACTACATGAGGTCTGCTGCTTTCAAGTCTCTCTGCACAGCAAGCATTAAAGGCAGCAAGGGCTGCCCCACAAAAGGCAAGGTCTGATTGCATTACCTGGACCCACAAGGTTTAGGAGATGGAACTGAACAGAGGCCAAAAGCGGATTTAGCTTTTGTGCCTGTAAACAATATGTACAGAAACTGTGGTCCACACTCTGCAACAGGGCACATAAAAATTACAAGCCACAAATTAAAATCCATTTCAGACTGATGAAATTGAGACAGGCAAACCCTTTTAGAAAGATAACGGGTCAAAAGCAGATTCTTCCATCCATGATGTTCAGGTCTGATCTTAAAAGCATTGTCTGAAGGAAGCATGTGATTCGGCTAACTTTGACCCGGGTACGCCTGTGTCCTCTTACACCTTGGCTTTTATTGTCTGTTAGCTTATGCAACACCTTAAATGTATTACAAACACTGTAAAGAGAGACTATAAATTGTTTCCTGTTGCTCTTCAGTATGTATTTGGGACAATTTGGGGTGTTTTCCGTGTTTCATTGAGAGGACAAAGAATGGATGCCATGGACTGAACTCAGCTTCCCAGAAAATGTGCCAGTTGGGTGATACGTCTTTGCAATCAATTTAGGCTAACTGCTTATCTGCTTGCCTTACAACGCAGGCATAATCAGACTGTACACTGTGGCCAGAAGAACTTGCTTCCTGCCTTTTTATCTTTCTAATTCTTAAGTTTTATTAGCCTGAACAGTTGTGACCTCGCAAGCTTGTGTAACATTCCGTGTCTTTTCGATCAACCGTAATAAAAGATGTTATATGAATTTAGTTCTTGTTTCTGGATTTTCAGCTGTAGCACTTATGCAGCTCCCCCCCCCTAAAAAAGAAGCATTTTGGGACTTTGCACAGGGAGACTAGGATTCAACCCATAGATGGTCCAGTAAAGTGGAGTGGCTCTCTCTCACAGGGGTCTTCTCCGCCATACTACCTGAGAGATGCCTTTAGTGGACAGGCTGACAGGGAAAAAATAGATTCATTCGAAATGTGGTATTGGAGGCAAGTTTCACAGATACCGTGGACTGCCAAAACAATAAAACAGTGGGTTCTAGATTAAATTAAGCCTGACCCCTCTCCCTATAAGCCAAAGTGACTAAACTTTGTACTCTGGCCACGTTATGAGAAGAGTCCCTGGAAAAGAAGACTCGGCATGAGATGGATTGACTCGGTGGAGGAAGCTGTGGCCAAGGCTATTAATGAGAGGACATGGGCTGTCAAGTCACTTCCGTAGACACACACACACACAAATATATATTCACCAATAATCAATATCCCACAGTTGACTAGTGACCTTTCAAAAATTCTCTCGAGGCTGCTTTTTTTTTTTTAATCTTGACACAACATTCCCACTGAGGACCAGTAAGCGATACACCTGCAGATTCCTTAAACCAGTGGATGAAATGTGGTGGGAAAAGACAAATTACAAGGTCCACTGAACACACACAGCGGTAGAATTGATAGGAAAACCAATGGTATGTGGAGTGACTCTGTGTAAAAACGTCTGCATCAAAAATGAATACACCCCCAGTCTAACTGGGTGTCCTCTCTGAAGGACTTCAGTGCTTACAGTATTTCTGTTTACTGTCAGGCAGGCTGGCTGCAGCCTGGTTTCATCTGGCATCATACCTGGTCCAAAGCAGCATTCGAAGCTTCCTGCCCCCAAAGGAATCTTTTCTAACCCACCAGGAAGGGTAGGCATTGGACAGGAGTAAAAGGATGCTGTGATTCACAGAAAAGTATATTCAGGCTCTGCAAATGTAAACTTGCAATTTATTGGCATTAGTTACAAAATAAAACGTTAGACCATGATCTTCTGTCACACTGAGGATAGATTGTTTTGTTATCAATCAAAGATGAGAAGCAAAATATACTCAGTGTCCCAAATCAATTGTAGTGGTGCATGAAAAATCCATTTTTGTTCTTGCTATCCACAGGGTGGCATTTTGAACGCTGTGCCTAGAAGGGGGGGGGGAGAGATGAGTGATGTTTTTGTCCAAAATTTCCTCCCAACATCCACGAGGCTGTGCATACGTCAGGCTCCGCCCCCAACTGGAGGAAGGAGAGGGCTCAGTCTCACTTTTCAGTCTGTTTCTTCCTTGTTTCATCCTTCTCCAGGGACAGAGCTGACCCTGTGTCACGACGGCTGTTGTTGCACTGTTCCTTTAAGATACCACATCCCTCCCTGGCTTACGCAGCAATCCTGAAAAACAAGAAAAACTGTTAGGCGGCGTAATCTTTAAAAAAAACAAAGTAAAACCACACACACTGTAATTCTCTTCCTTAATTGCACACAGCTAGAATTAAGGTCACAGAAGAAAGAGCATACAGGCAGGAACTCCTAGCCCTTGCACATGAGCCCTAAGAACAAGCAATGATGTTAACATTCCCAACTGTGGAAGGTCTAAGCTTATTATTCCTTTTTGAAAGGGAATAAACCGGTTACCTTTTCAGAAATGTGATGATTCACATGCTCCAAGTTCAGAGGCATGAATTGCTAATGGGTAGGAAACTGTAACGAAGAGAAGTGGAAAATGGTCCAGTCGCTATGTTCACTCTTTAATGTTACTGCAAGAACTTCACTGGCTGCCCATCAGTCACCGAGTTCAATTTAAGATATTGGCTATCACGTACAAAGCCCTTCATGGCCTTGGGCCCTGAGATCTGTGAGCCCGCCTCTCCTCCCGCGTTCCACCACAGCTGCTTCATTCATCTGAACACTGTCTTCTGCAGGTGCCAAACTGCAAATGGGCAAAATCTCAACAACTGCCCACACACCTTGTCTGGTGTGGCCCCCGCCTTATGCAATGCCCTGCCTGAGGAAGTCAGGAAGGCTCCTGGTTTTCACTCACTATGCAAAACTAAGATAGCTTCAGGGAGGTCGCGGTGTTGGTCTGAAGCAAGAGAACAAAGTCTGAGTCGAGTGGCACCTTGAAGAAGGAGGAGGAGGGGGAGGAGATTGGATTTATATACCCCACTCCATTACCAAAGGGAGTCCCAGAGCGGCTTACAAACTCCTTTCCCTTTCCCTTCCCCTCCCCACAACAGACACCCTGTGAGGCAGGTGGGGCTGAGAGAAACTGCTCTTTTTCAAGAACAGCTCTTATCAGAGCTATGGCTTGCCCAAGGTCATCCAGCAGGTGCAAGTGGAGGAGTGGAGAATCAAACCCCCAGATTAGAGTCCGCGCACTTAACCACTACACCAGACTGACAAAGTCTAACTCTTGGGTATAAGCTTTTGAGTGCACACGAAAGCTTAAAACCAGAACTGAACTTTGTTAAAGGTGCCACTGGACTCAAACTTTGTTCGATGCAAAACTAAATCATTCAAAGAGGCTTTTTCTACGCAGGCAGTAGACTTGCACTGTACTAAATGAATCACAAAGTTACTTGAAAAAATTATTAGGGACTGTGGTCTGTACAGATTGCTGAAACTAGGGTCCAACTATGAAATATGCATCATTTATTTTGCCATGTTAGTACTCAGGCTTTGCTTCAGTTCTGCTTTTAGACTTCTGGTTGGTTCTACAACCCTAATCCTCTTGCACTGTTTATTGACTGTCCAAACTGTCAAAATTCTGCGTAATCCTCCTTTGAGGTCAAGTGAGTAAGGCAGACTATAAATTTAAAAAATCAACTGAATTAAAACGTAAAATATAAAACATAGTTAATGGGAGATTTGCTCACTTAAGCCCTCAAAGAGCGCCTCCCACCAAAAGTTCAGGTACTCAAACCACTCTGTCTGCAGCCATGTTTCTACATGACTGAAATGTGAAGACAGTCAAGATTCTCAGTAGCTTCATCAAAACACACTAGAGCAGCAGCTTGCTTTTCTTGCTCTCTGTCATAATGCACTTTACTTCAGAGCCACCGTATGACCCAAAGGACACTCCCCCTTCCCCCGGGGGCTTATTTCTCTCCAAGAGGTTAAATAGGTAGCTATTTCCAAAACAGCAACCAGGAGAGCTATGCGACAGGGTTTCCACTAGCGGAAACACTGCAACCCAGTTGTGTCGACGCTCGACAGCATCCAGACTATAGTGCACAGCCTCCGGGCTGCAGATACGGGGATGCCACCTCCCATGGAAAACTCAAAACGGCATCTTAAAGCCGACTAATTACCTGGGTGAAAGAGCCATTAGGTACAAAAGTGCAAACCCCCTAATTGGTACAATTAACTAATTAGCAGTCTGAGCACAGGATTTACAGATAAACACAGAGAGGGCACATGTCAGTAGGATCACACCCAGCCACCTGGGCTGTGCCGTCTCCATGCCAGCCTCCCCTTAAGTCTAGCCAAGCTCACTGATCATTCCAGGACCCGATTGAAACACCACGCAGAGCAAGAAACGTTTGCCCGGGGGACCTGCCAACGGCACGGCATCTCATCCAATCTGGGCTGCTACTCGTGGGAAGCCATTTTCTATGGAGATGCTGGTCGAGGGGCAGCAACCCACCAGAAAGTGCTTCTGCCAGGGCAGCATCACGCCCCAGTCGGGGACAGGAGCATTTTAAGAATGTTAAAAGCAGTGGCAGGATCCTTCTTTATACCCCAAGGATATTAGGAAGGATGGGAGAAAATGAGGGGGGTTTTCAGCATGTTTGGAAGCACGCCATCTTCAATGTGTGTGGTGTTGTTTTTAACGGAAACGGCTACCATCACACAGTGTAGCCCCGATTTCCCTGCTTCTTTGCAATCCCCATTAGAACATGCGGAACACACAGAAGAGACACTCAGGAGCACCTTCCCAAAAGCTAGAACCTGGGCATTGCCAGCATACAGAAAAGCTAATGGCTGAGACACAACATCTTTCTTTTTTTGTTGTTGTTGTCGTTAAGTTGCAGCTGATTTATGGTGACCCTGTAGGGTTTCCAAGGCCAGACACATTCAGAAGTGGTTTGCCATTGCTTGCCCTTGCATAGAGACTTCCTCGGTGGTCTCCCACCCAAATACTGACCAGGGCCAACTCCGCTTCGCTTCTGCCCTCTGATGACATTGGGCTAGCCAGGGCAGGGCACAAGACATAGTAGAGGTTTATAAAATTAGGCAGGGGGTGGAGAGTGTGGAAGGAGAGTTCTTCCTCCCTGTCTCATAATACAAGAGTTCATGGATGCCCAGTGAAGATCGTGGGCAACATATTCAGGACATTGCACAGGGGGTTGGACTAGGTGACCCTGGAGGTCCCTTCCAACTCTATGATTCTATGACAAAGAAAAAACGTCTTTATTCTATGAGTGGCTAAACTGTGGCACTCGCTGCCAGCAGACGGCACATATGGCTTTAAAGGGGGACTGAAACAGATCCATGGAGAAGTGGCATCAATGGCTACAAGCAATGTTCCCTCTAAGCTGTGGAGTCCCGTGAGCAAAAATTCTACTTTGTGAGCTGCTGGCATTAAAGTTGTGAGCGAGGGATTTGGCTGCTGCATAAATTAGTTTGCTCTGGAGCCCTCCTTCCCGAGCCGAGACAAGAATGTGTGAGCCAGAGGCTAAAAAACTGTGAGCTAGCTCACACTAACTCAGCTTAGAGGGAACACTGGCTACAAGCCATGGTAGCCAAAGGGAACATCCACAGAACACCCGCCTTGGCCATCAATGCGCTGTTTGTGGGCCACTATGCGATGCAGGATGGAGATCTCGATGCAACAGGGGTCCAATCCTCACTATTCTCAAGCACCACAACTCACCAGCCTCAAGAGGCTCTTGGTCAGCGGCTTGCTCAACTGGCCAAAACGGACCTGA